CTATACACCTATACATCCACCTATACATCCATCTATAGAGCTATACATCCACCTATACATCCATCTATACACCTATACAGCTATACATCCACCTATACATCCACCTATACATACATCTATACACCTATACACCTGTACATCCACCTATACATCCACCTATACACCTGTACATCCACCTATACATACATCACGTCACATGTCATGCGTTGCCAGTCGTGCACCTCTTGATGATGGTGGAGAGATTCTGACAACTCCATCATGTGTTATGGGAACTGCACCACCCAGGGCGGGACAGCAGGCTCTACAGGCTGTCATTACAGCGTCACGGTCCATGTGTGGGATTGCTTTCCCATCACCGGAGGGGACGCCTTATAACAACGGGGTCCTGAAGAGGCACCCCCTCCCCCCACAGCACACACTACATGTACATCTACATTGACATCCTGCAGACTCTACTTTCTGACCACTCTCAGCCCTTTCCTATACAGTGCTTGCTCTATTTGTCTATGCTTTTTTAAAAAGTGTGACTTTATGTATATATTTGATTTATTTGTGTGTAGAGAAGGTAAGAATTTCCTTGCTTAGCTCTGCAGCATGTAGAGAATCCTACATGCGAATCGCTCGGTAACACCTGCTCTGATCCCCGCAGGCACAACGGGAACATCCTGCTGGACTCCGAGGGCCACATCATCCACATTGACTTTGGCTTCATCCTCTCCAGCTCTCCTCGCAACCTCGGCTTCGAGACGTCTGCCTTCAAGCTGACCTCGGAGTTCGTGGACGTGAGTAGAAACAGCCTGAGGATGTGTTGGAGGGGGATGATCCCGGGCAGAGGTTGATCACAATTTTGGGCTCAGGTGCAGTCTCCTGATATTTACCTGTCACTGAGAACAGACCAGAACAGACGGAGGGCTGCGCTGCGCGTCTGGATGGGATTTTTAGCCACTCGAAGCCGGCTCTCTGCTGACCTGTAGATGAATCGTTCATGTTGTTTTTGGAGCTTCAGAGTTGCTGAGGATCCTTTCTGGTGTCCGACAGCTGTCAGCAGCAGGAGATCCCACATGTCCTGTTCAGCATTGAGCCCTCAGCACCGCCGGTCACAGCCGGCTCGGTTGTGGTTTCTCAGCCGGGCGCTGCAGAGGTTTAGTTTTGATTTGGATGAATTTCTGTTTGATTCACGCGTGGATCGCTGAAGGACTCTAGGAATTGGGGTTTCGTGGCTCCTGATGACAGAAGCTTTTATTTTGGTGGAAGAAAAGCTTCCTGTGGAGTTTAACATGGTGGCTGTCCTGATGCCCGGTGTTTGCTGTTTCAGGTGATGGGCGGGCTGAACGGAGATATGTTCAACTACTACAAGATGCTGATGCTTCAGGGTCTGATCGCAGCCAGGAAGCACATGGAGAAGGTGCTGCAGATCGTGGAGATCATGCAGCAAGGTAACAGCATTGCGCCTTTCTTACAGCTGAGAACGGCACACACGCGCGGTCTAAGCCTAACCCCGTATCTACAGCTGTCAGTACGAGTCCAGTCAGTCTCAGTCTGTAGGACGGGCATACTTTCTGTTCCACATCCACGTTCACACCATCGGGGAGCAGGTCCGGCCACAAAGTTCGTCCCTGCTGAAAACTCCAAACTTTTTATTATCCAGAACAAAACTCATGTTTGAGTTTGAGTCACGCTCCACCTAACTGCAGGCAGCAGAGGCCAAGCTAGCAGACAGCTAGCAGCTGCAGCCTACGGCCGGTTTTTGCAAATTTCACTATTCAGTGAGATTATATACTATCCAGAGTCATTACTGCCAGCACTGCGTCACAGCAGCCCGGCTAACAAAGGTTAAGGAGTTCTCTTATTGGTCCCTATAACCCTCGCAGTGAAGCTGCAACAACAAAGTCATTCCTGCGTCACATCGTAGCGCTGTCGGCGACTCGGGCGGAGGTCCAGAGTGCACGAATTGACCGGTGTGGGTTTAAGGACGTGTTTGCCAGTCAGCTGCTAACAAAGTTGTTTTAACCCCACAGGTTCCCACCTGCCGTGCTTCCACGGCTCGAGCACCATCCGTGGCCTGAAGGACCGTTTCCACATGTCTCTGACGGAGGAGCAGCTGCAGCTGCTGGTGGAGCAGCTCGTGGACGGGTCCGTGCGCTCCATCACCACCAAACTCTACGACTCCTTCCAGTATGTCACCAACGGCATCATGTGACCCGTCTGGACTGAGCGACGGCGGTGGCCGGAGCCGGCAGATGTTTCGCTGCGCCGCCGCCTGATTGGATTCGATGGAGCCGCCTCGTCACCGTCATCGGGGTCGAGGCGGCTGCTGGAAGACTCGATAGAGATGGAAACCACTTCATCACATCGTTTATGGATTTAAATCTGCAGCTAATCGAAGCGACGGCACGGCAGATTCGACTTCCTGCCGCTCGTCACACGCGTGAACTCATCACTGCTGTCGACTTTATTAACCAGCCCATAATCACTACTAAACTGCCCAGCAGCAGAGCGTTTACAGACACAACCACCACTACTTCACCCATCCTTCAGCTAAAAACAGCTCAATGTTTCCACGTCTGTTGACAGGAAAACGTCTGAGAAAGGCGTTTGGTTCTTTCCAGCAAACATCCTGTAATTACAGAAGCTCCTTTTCCAAAGATAAAAGTCTCGTAATCGTAAGCCTGAGATTCCAGAAGGCGCCCTCTTTTTCCTCCCAACGTCGTAGTTTAAAATGGACTCAGAGGAGAACTCCTCAGAAACTCGAGGGTGAGCCCGAGGACGCGTCTGACTGGGTCGGCACGAACCTTCTCTTGTTTAAATGAAGTCCGAGTGGACGCGAACACCAGCAGAGGTGGAAGGAGTTTGCTCTCCGAATCAGAACGGCTACGAGGAAAAAGCACAACGTGAACTCGGCGTTCGGCACGCTCACAGAAAGGCTGACGTATCCACGCTCCTTTACAGATTATCGCTTTATCTTCCAGCAGCATTCCTGTTTTCACCAGACATTTCTCACAGTTCATCGTCAGCCTTTTCCCGACATTTTAGCAACTGTAAGCGCGTCGAGGTTTGGGGAAGCTCAAATTCTTTTGTCCTGAACGTCCATTAGCCTGAGCCAGTGACCACTGCTGCCCATTTTCCTCTGTTTTATTTCATTGTATTTCACTTTTTCCTAAACTGTTATTTTACCACTTTCCCAAATATCTATTCAGCTGTTTGGTTTTTAACAGAGTCACTGTCATGCTAGCTATGCTAATGGAGAATTACTCACAGACTGTGGAGGAGCAAAGTCCAGAATATTTATTAGAAATATGGCCATTACTATAATAAACTACATTATTATTTTTTAATTACTAGGGGAGATGTGTTTTTAAGCTAATGTTCCTGTACTAGCTAACAAAATTAATACCTAGCTAAGGCTAATCAAAGAAATAAATGAGTCCTGTCCTCATTTCCTAATAACATTACTCTTTCACTGCTGTAGTATACTTTGCAGTTTATGCTCTCTCACTAGCTAATAACCACTAAACTACTAGCAGCAGAGAGTATACGTTTATTATACACTTAAGTTGATTTTTCCCTCATTGCAGTTTGTTAGCAATTAACCTGACAGTGTCTTGGCTAAAACTTTTTGCTTTTTTTATTTATTCCTCTCTAAAATAAGTACGTTTTGTAACAAGATAACAAACTCGCCATTTTGGTTGCTGTCTCTCTATAAGCCTACTTTCGTCTGATTGGCTGACTTGCAGTAGTCTGTAGAGGGGCAGCACTTTCTTATGAACTGCACTTTCCGTTTAAACCTTTGACCAACTAGCATCAGCACAAAAACACAGTAAGTTGCCTTTGAGAGCTTTTATAAAATAGTTTTGTCTTGTTAGTGTAAGAAAATACTAAACCTTTATCAATGTGACGAGTGTCTGGTGAAAAAAATATTTACTTTCGTTTTTTTATTTTAATGTTTGTTACATCTTTTTAGGTCCAATTTCAATTTCTGAGAAAAAGTTACTGAAGTTTTGTTGTTCATGTGTTTCTGTCAGCTCGGTGCACATGCTAGAGATTATACAGTGATAATGTCAGTGCACAGTAAGTGGCCGTTCTGAGCCAAAAGGTTCTTATCAGGAGAATTATACTCATTATTATCACTTTGGACTAAACGCGTTATTGTTATGTGAGTCTGTATTTACGTACTAAGAGCTCAGCAGTGTTCCTCTCTGATTGGCCCCAATATACATTCCCTTGGTTAATGCTGGCCAGTCAGAAGAGGCGGTTCTGTGCACGCTGAGCGTGACGATCAGTTGAACACGTGAATGTTTTTACACGCAGACGTGTTCTCATTGTTGAGCGAAAGCTAGCAGTTTTAGCTTTAGCGCTGCTGCTGTCGCTCTAATGCTGGAACACTGGCTTTATTTCAGCGTCTTACACATAGAAACGGCTTCCTGTGTGTTTCTACAGTACGCGCCTCTAGCGTTTGCTAGCTAACAGTTGTCATTTCTGTAAATAGCAACTTTCCCCGCTGTTTAAGGGCAGCAGCAGTTCACTGGAGGCTTTGAGCTGCAGTTCCAGTATGACTGAAATCAAACATGAAGCATTTTTACAGCTAGCTAAACGGTAAGCTAATACAGCAGTTAACTGATTACATAGCTGGAGCTAATTTCAGTGAAACAACGTGTCATGGCAGTTTCCTCTAAAACGATTAAAATGTAAGTTTACTCTCAGATGCACTTGATTATTAGCAGGTAGTGAGACAAAATCTTTCCAGTTTGATTATTATTCTACAGGAATGGTAATCAGCTAACATCAGGTCGGGGCTAAAATAGTCACCTGACGCTCGGACATTATGACAGTTTTTTTGTTTTTATTCTTGTTTATTAATGAATGTTTAACTGTGAAAAGGGGAAGCTGAGCCGGCGGACAGTGAACTGGGTCTTGCTGGAATAAAGCCAGTGTTTGTAGTAGTTTCTGACCACTGTAAAAGGACAACCACAGCTCTGTCGTGAACGCAGCGCCACCGTCCGCTAACTAGCTCACTGTTTTACGTGCAGCTGTGTCTAAAGTTTACCAGATTAGCAAACGCTCTTTGCTTTCTTTGTCGTTCGTTATTTGTGAATCTGTACACGAACCGAGTTTGTTTCCCGTGAGAAAAATCGATGCCTTGAGACGTACAGAAGGTACAAACTTATCAATGCAACAGGAGGGACGTTGGGACCTCAGAAGTGCTTTTTATATCCTCGGTTTGACGCTCCAGGGACAAGCTTCAACACTCCAGTACTCCTCGCTCATCTGCATTTATTTACATTTCAAGTCCCGTCTGTAAGCGCTGCAGAGGAGCTCTTTAAAATTTAAAGTAAAGTCATTGGGAAGTGATACTGCTGTTTGAAAAGGTGGAGACGCCTGTAAGGTCAAGCCAAACGATGGCGTTAGCTGCAGTTTGGAGGCTAGTGGGGAGAACGGATTGTTGAGACTCGTCCCTGCCGCTGAACATCCTCATTGCCTTTGTCATCAGCTCTGAACACGGTCAGTGTGAGAAGTGCATTTATGAAACGTTTCTGTCGTTTGTAAGGATCCTTTGTTGTTAATGTTTTACTAAAACACGGAGTCATACAGCAGCCATGTTAGTGTTTGGTGTTTGAGGAGTTTCTATGGGAAATGCGACGCTAACGTCACGGTCAACGATACTTTTCACTGTGTGAAGAAACATTATATGAAAACACTTTGAGTGATTTCTGAGGTAATTCACAAACGGCATCATCTCAGGAGACGGGAGGAAACGGGGTGAGGAGGGGTGAGATCAACAATTCATTTACCCCAAATCATATAAAGTCGCATTATGTGGAAAAGCACTTTTATATGAAGATGAGTGTAAATAATGAGAGCAGTGGGTCCATGAAGCCACTGAATCACGAGGTTGACTTTATGTGTACTGATTGGGCACTTAAACGTTATTGACCCTCTCCTGCAGCCGCTCCTCGCCTCCGACAGAATGTCAGGCTACGTTCACTCTGCGGGTCTTAAAGCTCAAATCAGTTTTTTTGTCTGCTCGTTCACACTACAAATAAAATGTGACAGCAAACGCGCTCTAGTGTGAACCCTAACCCAGACCAACAGTGTTGTTTGACTGTTTCAGACTTTACGTTTCCCGATTTTGCTTCAAGTTATAAAGTTATTGTGTTATTTACATTTGGCCTAATAATGATCCTTGTTGCTGTTTTAGAGGAGCGCTGCTTCAAAGGATAGTTGCAGAATCTGCAGATTATACAGAACAAATAAAATGTTCCCGTTTCTCCAATGTTGTTCCCAACAGTTTCACTGGATGGAAGTGTTCGCGATGTCTTCTCCGGCGCTGATAATCGGCGTCTGTCTTGTGTCAGTGACTTAAAAGACGGATTTAATGCGACCTGACCATCAAACAGCAGCTTTCTGAAACATCAGATATGCATCAGATTCAGGACCACATACGAAAGTGACCCAGGTGGATTTGTGCCGTTCCCACTGTCGCACCATGATCGGATACGGGTCGCACAGGGTCAAAGAAGTCGGATTTGCTTTCGCCTGCAGTGTGAACGTAGCCCAAGTCTGCACCTCTGCAGCGACGAGCATTAATGTGTTGAATCGTTAAGATCCAGCTGACGACTGGAGGCGTGTCCCTGTTTCTCATCATGTAGAGTCCATCTGTCACGTCCTGACTAACTGCATGGCAACTTATTCAATAAACCTGAAACCTGCTTCTGACCTGCACTGTGTGCTTTCTCAGTCTGTAAGATACTGGTTTTAATCACTTTTCTAACTGGTGCATAATTAACTTTAAACAAAGTCAAATCTGAAATTTCGCATCTCATATTTTATGTTTACGAACATCTACACCAGAGGCGTCCAACTCCAGGCCTCGAGGGCCGGTGTCCTGCAGGAGATGTGTCCTTGATCCAACATGGATGATTTAAACGGCTAAATGACCTCAACATGTCCTGCAGTTCTCCAGCAGCGTGGCAATGAGCTAATCATGTGATCCAGGTGTGCTGACCCAGGGTGAGCTCGAAACCCTGCAGGACACCGGCCCTCGAGGCCTGGAGTTGGACGCCTCTGATCTGAAAGACTCTTTAAAGTAAGAAAATAAAATAAAGTCACAATTCAGATTTTTCTGTGATCACAGGCGTCCATAACAATGTTTGTCTGCACACATTGTTTCCTATAAACTAAATTTAAAACAGCATTAGCTCAACGTAGCACTCAGATACAGTACAACACCAGCCAGTTTGCCAACTAATCATTTGTAAAGGCGATGGTGTTCAAATGTTTGAAATTGTCTGTGGTGATCCACAATAACAAAAACAAAATGTGCATGTTAATGTTTGTGAACAAATCCATGAAACTGAAGTCAAATTCAGAGTTTTTATTGACGATCTGACAGGACGGCAGATTAAACAAAGCCTGAACAGAGCGGCGGGCCATCAGTCACAAAGAAAACTAAACTAATAAATAAAATACCACAGACGATAAAAACATGGAGGTGAAAAAAATAAGCCAGAGAGAAAGTGCCTGCGTTCTATCTGAAGGCCACCAGATGGCGATAACTGTAGCTGCAAAGACTTCAGGCCCTGTAGAGGTGAGTAGGCTCTGCATGGGTGGTTAATGACACGAACAAATCTGTGAGACGTGGACCCGCCTGGTTTCAAAGAGGTGAACTGCTGTTCTGCAGTGACGATCTCACTAACCAGCAGGTGGCGTCAGAGTAGGTACGTCCATCTTTTTGCCTAAAACCCTGACAGGCATGACGGGAACGCTGCTGTGGCGTTAAACAAGTTCCTAATTCTTTGATCTGAAGAAGAAACTGCACCAAGTCTGAACTCGGAGACGCACAGTCCAGTCTGTCCACTCACTGTGAACGACGGCCACGAAATCATTTACAGGTAAACGTTTTATATCAAGACTTTAGTTCAAGTTTAAAAACTGAGTCACACAAAATAAACCAGTGACTCAATCATGGATCTGTGGGACATGAAACTCAACGCGTGTTTACATTTGTTCCTTTAAGCCAAATTTATTGGTGATTAAATCAGTCGTGGTTAGTGTTTAAAGAAAGAACTCAGTGATATTAAAATGTTTTTTTACGTGTTTAATCCAAACTTTGATGTCATAATTTGGTCAAATGACCTCGTTTTAATCTGCAGGGAAACAAACAACCAGTCGGAGAATCGCAGGATCTTATTTTTCTTTCACAACTTCAGACTGAATATTTAGGAGGTTCTGGTCAAACTGGTCCCAGGAAACACCAGTGAAAGACCCGTTTTTAGCTAAAGCAGCGCTGCGTCACATTCGAGGTTAATAATGGCCTGCCGCGTCACATCGGCTCCTTCAGTCAGGCCAAACAGACACACCCTCATTTTTCCGTCCTCGTCGTGGGAACACGATGTCATGGTTTAACTTTCACGGCGCCAAATTACAACAACAGTCGCCTGAAGGTGCTCGTCAGCTTCAGCGTACAGTAACACAAACAGCACAACAGCGCTCAGATGTTTATCTTTAATTACATCTTACTTTCAATGATTTGGAGGGAACATCCATTCTTAACATTTTGTCCTAGTCTGGGATCTTTGTGATGTCACAGAGGGCATATCCTCACAGAGCCAGCAGCTTTCAGTCGTTTGGTTTGTACGAAGTGAAATTTGTCCGAGTTTGAAAGAGGCAGGAATCGTGTTTCCATTCGTTTCAGGAACTTCAACCGCAGCCACAGTAGGAGGCGGGGTTAGCAAGCACTGGGTTAAAGGGGGAGGAGCTAAAACATTTTGTTTTAGCTCCTCCCCTTTAAGACTTTCTACTTCAGGAAGCCTTCAGAGGAGTAGGAGCTGCGAAATAACAGCTGCAGAGTCACAGGTCGTGTTTCAGCCACAGCTCCGTCTGATCACTTCATCGCTGTCCGATATTAATGGTTAATAAAGACGTTGGCGAAGAGCGCGTCCTAAAGACCTTTGACCTGTGAAACAAAGGGGAAGCTGGGAGGTTTGGCATCGAACGTGACCCCTCACCCGCCCGCCGCGGACACACAGAGGAGTCCGACGGCGTGACAGACGACAATGATGGCGGCGTTGCTGAAGAGTCTACAGGAGGACGCAGTCTGAGTCCTTGTCTCTTCTCCTGGATTGCTGTGCCCCCTGACCTCTGACCTGGAACACCGTAACAGTAACAGTGTAACCACCTCGTATCACGGTTGTTATTATCACATTATTGAGATCAATAAAAAAATCTTTATTTGCCTTTTCATGATGACTAACGTTTACGTGGCAGTCAGAGAACCACGTAATATTTCACACTCGTCTTCTGAACGCTGACTCAGGTGTTTTAAAGTGGACATGAAACTATGTGCATGAAGGCTCACTGACACCTGCTCTCAGGCACTGACGTAACTCAGCCGGGTGCTGAAAGTTTTAAAAACAGCGCCCTCTCCTGTCAGTGCGCAGCGTGACATCACGTGGTTGGCTAACACACTGAGCTAACAGGTGACAGGATCGATACCTCAGAGGAAAGGACAGCTGACCATCAGTGTGAGGGATCACTGCAGCGCTGCAGCAGTCAGTTCATGTTAAACAGGATCTGCTGTCACTTTACTGTGTGTCTGCAGCAGGAAGTGGCTGTTCGCTGAGATGTTGTGTTTGTACAACACTTTATAAATGAGGAGGAGAGCCTGAGTCAGGTGGTTACCAGAGCGACGAGCTGGGCTCCGTGATGTAAACAAGCCTTCACGCGCAGAGCTTCACGCCCCCTTTAAGGCTCCACACCAGTGATTCAGTGTGTTCTGTCCTGACTTTGGATTAAGCTGTGATAGCAGTGGCCTACAAGTGCTGCCCACAGTCTGCCGGCTTGTCTCCAGGTGAGCTTACCTGCTGCACTGAACCCTGTTGCTGGAGTTGCTGCTGTTGCTGATATTCCTCCTGCTGGAGCTGCCGGGCCAACTCCAGGTCACTGAGGGGCCCCGGGGCCCCGCCCTGCTGCTGCTGCAGGGACACTGCCACAAGGTAGTCCTGACACCCACAACAACACCCATCAGAGACGTGCTAATGGGCCAAAGTGTTCGGTGGCAACGATATTACCTGGTGAGCTCACCTGGTCAATTTGCCGCTGCTGCTCCTGGGCGCTGGGTGGCAGGTGGGGGGTGGGTGGAGCTCTCTGAGGAGGATGACACAGCCGGAAATCAGAGTCGCAGAAGTTTCCATCACCCTCGACGTTATGAAGCGACTCCCAGACCACAGACTCCTCCTGCAGGAAGCCTTGATCCGTGACCAGCAGGTACAGGTGCCCCTGAGAGAGGAGACAAGTGAAAAGTGTTGTGATGAATAAGTACGAATCAGGTGGGCTTAACGTCTTAGACTTCTCTACTTTAAATAACACTTTCAAAATTAATTGGGCTAAACATTTTCTTAAAAACCCTACCTCTATCTGGAACTTTATACCTTATCATATTTTCTCTCATTTTGGTGGCTTTAATTTTATTTTAAATTGTAATTACAATGTTGAGAAACTCCCTGTAAAACTTTCATCCTTCCATGAGCAGGTCCTCTTAGCGTGGACCCTCATAAACACAACTTCTCACCTCACAAATACCTTATCTGGAACAACAGAGATATTTTATTTAAAAATAAATCACTTTTCCTGGAAACTTGGGTCCAA